ACACGGGATGATTCATTTGCATCTGACACAGATGGCTCCCTATCAACATTTGAAATTTGTTCCCTCCCCTCATGGGCTCTAGATGCATCATATGCTTCAATAGCCGCCAATTTCTCATAATCATCACTCAGCAAAAAGCGCCTCAGCAAACACAAAATCCCCAAATCAACAATTTTCTCTTGACATCGAGAGTCTTCGCCACAAACTTCAGTCAGTGCTTTTATTCCTTTCAGCGTTGCAGAGGCAGAATCTGCAGCATCTAGTTTAAGTAAACTATCTTTCTTTAAGTTTTTTAATGTTCCCACAAAAGGTTCCAGAGAAAGAAAATCTGCCAGTGGAAAAGAATCCTCAGAATCAAAAGCAGTTCCCTTTTGCTTAACTGCTAGACAAGTAGCAGCACTAGCTAACTGGTTTGCAACTTGTGCAGCAGAAGAAATATTTGAATTATTAATTGAGGTCTGCCAATTAACATAGGTAGAATTACATTAAAACTTTGTATGAAGTTGCAGCAGCACATAATGTGAAATGTCATCTTAACCTCAACTTATCAGAAAAAAGAAAGAGGATCAAACGCATGCACATACTGATGTAAAATAATATCAAACCTAAGCTAATTAGATATAAGAAAAAGGAAGAAAAAAGGATCTATACCTTCAATTGATTATTTTTAGGTTGACTGGCCCCTTTATCATTTGTGTTCTTGATGGAACTCAGGACTTCAGTTAGCAGCATGGTTAACCATCCTTGAGAAACTGAAACAGATGTTGGTCCATGGTTTTCAAAGATCCGAGAAAGAATCTTTATGGCTGAAGATCGTAAAGCATCAGAAGAAAATTTTCCAAAAACCCAGGAGAGAAGAATGCCAGACCACTTCTGACTCTCTTCAAGAGATAAATGGAGTTCTTTGGTGCACAGTAGTTCTAATACTTTTGCCACTGCTTCTTGCATCTGATTATGCTTTGTAGTCTGCTTGGAAATGTCTCTCATCAAATTAAGGCCCTTCTCCATAACTATTTTCTGTGCACTGGAAAATCTCTCAACAGATAACACAAAGGCAGATAAGGCAACCTTAGCCAGGGAAATGTCTTCATGCTTACATGCCTGAGAAATAGTAGAAAGAAGACTGGAACTCCAATCAGAAACAAAATCATTCAAAAGGATATTGCGATCTTCTAACAACAACCGTGCCACCAAACTCGCATGCCATTTCACAGATCTCTCAGGTGCTGTCAAAGCAGACATGATAGCCTCTCCATCTTGATCCAGCTCTTGTATAGAACATCTATTAACCTCTGATGCCAATGCCCAATTTGCCAACGCCCATGTAGCAAAAGGAACAGCAACATGTTCACAGAGTAAATCATCCCAGAGACCAGGAACAACAGCAGAAACCATATTTTCTTGTGCTAATGAATTGTCATGCTTATTTTCTGACATGATAGTTTTAGGAGTACGAAGCATTAGTGGTGCTGCATGACTAGAATCAGAATCATCCAATTTCATCAATATGCTGGTCCTTGAAAGACCTAAACCCACAGTACCATCAAGTATCTTGATCCCAATCCCTTTACTTCCTGTCCCTCCATCTTTGTCATCTTCACTTTCACGTGGTTCATCCAAATGCAAACAACCTTCCTCGATAACTTGTAAGGCAGCTGCAATATCTCCCAGTTCAGCATTTCCAGGCAATGGTGGCTTAAAAGAAACCTCTTCTGCGTTGTCACAACTGGAAGTGACTATATCCATAATGGCAGCCACAAGCATGCTCCTACCTTTTAAAGAATCATAAATATCAGATGAACTTCGTCTTGAATGCTGCAGCAGCAAAAATGTATTGATGTTGCTAATGTTAAAACTAAAATAGAAATTATCAACAATGCCGCAAGTTTCTTTGGCATTAATATAATAAATTTAACATATCCAAATAAAAATTCATAAACAATGTTCGAATGCTTAAAACGACAGCATTGTTATGACATGTCAGAAATATTTTATATACAAATAGAACCTAATCAAAAGGGGCATATGAATAACAAATTTAAACATATTTTTTACATATTACCAAAAAATAAAACTGCAACAAAACATGAGTATTTTCTAAGAGAGGAGGACTGCTTAGACTTTAGAACGCTAATTCCTTTTCTTGTTTATGCGTAGATGCAGGAACAGCCCAGGTAATACTTCAATATCACATAAGTCAGGCGATTTACCATTAAATTCAATCCAGAAATTACTGACTTTGCAAACAATAAATTTTGGCTTCAATGGGGAGATTTCGTTTGGACAATGAGGCGTCACCATCGATTAATATGCATTTTCTAGACTTAGTTTTTAATGCTAGGCTTTTGCGAGGGAGAAAGAGAAGTTAGAATGTTTGATATAGAATAAGGAACCAAAAGAACATCGAAAGAACATAAATTACATAGTTCAATAAATAATTACTACAGTAAATGGTAAATCTAAACTTCAGTGTTTAGAGACAATATGATGCACATCGCAATAAACTCAAGTGACACGCTTTGGCATCAACTAAACTGATTGTTCTGCAAATCCTAAACTACGAGTTCAAGCATCGCATCATGAAGATTACAATTTAAAGAGGTCGGCTAACTAGAAAGAAATACCTTCTTAGATTGCCGAGGCTGACAAGAAAAAATAAACCTGAGAAGATTTGGAATGGCATGAGGCCGCCCAAGCACACCCGCCGATACGTTAGCGTCGGCAATCAAGTAAGCAAGCGCCCTTGCTGACTCCGTTTGAGTGCCACCCCCATCTTTGGCAACAGCCACCGACTCAAGTAACCAATCTACCACGGCACCGCCTCCCGCCCCGACAATAGCAGCCCTGCGGCTAGAATTTGCGGCGGCAATGTCAGCAAGAAACGCCGCAACACGAATCTCGAAACCGGAACGAACCTCATGGTTGGCCGAAGACAAAACAGACGTTAGCGAATGCCAGAGGACCGAAGCGGCCACACCAGTTTGTTTGAGGTGATGGAAAACCTTCTGGTAGGAGTCGCGGGACTTGTTTATCGCTCGTTCAACTGTAGCATATAGGTTATTAGAGGCTTCGTCATCGGGTTGCCTTTGACGGTGGTGATCCGATAAGAGGAAGGCTGCGGAGGCCAGGAAAGCCGAGACCACAGTAGCAGAAGCAACGATAACAGAACTGCGAGAGAAAGATGTGGTAGGGAGAGGGGAGAGAGGACCAGAAAGTTGGTGGGGTGCTTGTTGCCGGACTGCCTGAGCATTTTCTACATTGTCAGGCGGTTTGACGGGTTTCCTCGATGTCGATGAAGAAGATATATAGCGAGGATGAAGCAAGCGATGATTTATTCTGGAAGTCAAACGGAATCGATACATTGTTTTGTAACAGAAAGTGCTATTGTCATTTCTCCGTGGTGAGAGGCAGCATGCTTTTGCTGATAAGCAAGCCTAAAGACGATCGGAAAGAATTTTAGAGAACAAGGAAGTGTTCACGAATAAGTAACGAAAGGAAAAGAAAGAGAATCTCATCAAATCAAAGAAAGAAAAGCGAGAAGAAAATTCGATCTTCCTCAGGCTATGGATAATTTACCTTCAGAAATTAGAAGTTGTACTTGCCGTCGAGGATGGAGGGCAGGCGGGACCGAACCCGACCATCAGACGAAACATTGCCGGTACTGATGAGTGGATGTTCCTAAATTATTTTTTTAGAAAATAAAAGTTCGAAACAACGCTCCTCAACAAAAATAAATAAATAAATAAATAAAATTATCTCATTTATTAATAAAAGAATAAAATTATTTAAAAAAAAATGCTTGAAATAAAAACATACCTCAATATCAAAAATAAATTAGGCCATGGGCGGAATGAAAGAAATGGAATCATCTGGCAGGTATAGAAATATGCCAAGATTATAATCAACAATCAAGATAACCCATAGGCCTTGTTTGATAAGAAGCATTGAAAAGGTGAGAATGGGATTGAAATTGCATAAACCCAATTTATCATATTTGGTATGTATCATTGGTGAAATCAATGTCAGGCCCAGTCCCATATTGTGTAAGATTACACAAAACCACCTACCCCCTAGTGTTGCAAAAACAATGTTGGGATTGATTTGTTCTATACCAAATTCCCCTTGTTTAGAGTCGACAATTTGACAATAGCCAAGAGGGATCCCCATCATCATTGTGGTTGCAAGTATCATATGTATCGTGGTTGCATTCGGTTCTGATTCAAATGTTCACCATCCTCTCTTATAGATATGAGTTTCAATTCTTTGTCATCTCCACTGTTCGCTTTTGGATTTGAGTTTCAATTCTTCATCATCTCCACTGTTTGCTGCTAGATTTGAGTTTTTAGGTTCTTCATCATTGTCTTGGTCAGACTCCTACACCGACACCATTGCCATTGCTGCTCGCGACCTCACCAGTCATCGCCATGGTCAAACTACTACACCAACACTATTGCCATTGCCACTTGTGACCTCATAAGTTGTCACCTCGTTAGTCACTCATGACCTCTGGGTTCTTCATCCTCAGTCATCACTAACATCATCGTGGGCCTGGATTTGTTGCCATCACCTTCATTCTTGCTGCGTCGCTGATTGATTCCTTGATTCCCAAATCTTTAATTTATGCTTCATAAATTTGTGTTTGTTTTTTTGGATTTTCTTCAGACAAGTGAAGTACAATAAAGATGGAAGGGTGAAAGGAAAGAGATGAAGGTATTTGAGTTTTTTTGTCAATTTTTTTGGTTTAACCCAATTTTATTTTTTTTAATTTCATGTCATACCGAACATGATTTTTAAAAGTTAATTCTAGTCTCACTCTCATTCTCAATTCTTTAAAATGTAATACCTCATATCAAATAGGGCCAGATTAAGGAGGAACGTGTTCGGTACTTCAGTTCTGTTGGCCTACATCCAATTAAGGTTATGCTTTGAAAACAAATGGGCCAGATTTATGAAACAAACTAGGCCCAACAGAACAATATAAAGCTGGTGTTTCTAATTCTCTGTTCGTTCAAAAGCAGAGCGCAGTTGCAGTTGAAGTATTGTCGAGGAAATCTTGCCTGAAAAGAAACTAGAGGCTATCTCCCAGATTTGAGGGGAAAGTGAGAGATATCGGGTATGGAGAGGCTACAGAGGATGTTTGCAGGTGCTGGAGGTGCACTGGGGCACCCACCTCCTGACTCGCCGACACTTGATTCCTCTGAGCAGGTTTATATTTCCTCGCTGGCCCTTCTCAAAATGCTCAAACACGGTTAGTTTTCTTTGCATGCCTTTCCGTCTTTTGAATCTCATGACTGTACAACCTAGCAGAATTCGAGGAATCTTGAGTTTTGAGCAGGGATAAATTTACATTCCAGGAGTGGTTAGGGTTCTGGGATTACCCCTTCCCTTTCTGCTTATGCAGTCAGCGATTTAGAACCCTTGTCTGAAATATCATAAAGCACTGGTTTTGTTCATGATTTACCTTTTTTCTGAGAAAGTTGATGTGATTTATAGGAAGAGCCGGTGTTCCCATGGAAGTTATGGGTTTGATGCTGGGGGAGTTTGTGGATGAGTACACCGTCCGCGTTGTAGATGTCTTTGCGATGCCACAAAGTGGTACTGGTGTTAGTGTTGAAGCCGTCGATCATGTTTTTCAGACTAACATGCTTGATATGCTGAAACAGACTGGAAGGTATTATCGTTTTCCTTTGATTTGCTTCTTATCGTTGTTGAAATACGAATGTTTCTATCTTGAATCCTTTAACTTGGAAGTCCCTTGCGCTTGAGTGCTTTTTTGTGTATTTGCGGTAACTTCCTTTCGTAGCCAAAATTTTTCAGTATACAAAAGATTATATGATGTAGACGCCCTACTTGTGGGCGTGCAAGCATCGTAATTAACGAGAATCTAGTCATTTAGTATAAATAGGGTTCCTTTTATCATCTTTAACAGACAATGGTAAATATTACTTAGTATAAAAGCCCTTATTATAGAATGCTAGGGTGGTTGACTTGATCCTCTTAGGATATGGAATGAGATTGTGACTAAGAGTTAACATCATGGAAGTTAAGCTGTTTATGTAGTTGCTGCATTTTCCATCTTGTTTCAATTAATTACTTTTGTTTAAAAAAAAAATTAGATGCGAAACAATTATGAGAAAAACATCCTTATTTGAAGCAATTAAGTTTAAAATCACGCGTGCTTTCTTACTCCTTGCCTTGCTGCACCTGCAACTCAGACTTAACCTCTTTTGCTACTGCTACTGAATTCTTCTGAAAGGAAGGAAAAAGAAACCCTCCTCAGCTGCTCAAGCTGGTACCGTTTCTGATACTCACCTCTCCCTTCCCTCCTTTATTGCATTCCACCCATTGTGTCTTCTATCTAACTTATTCCAGTGCCCGCTTCTGTTATCCAGCAGCTAGGTAAGCCTACTGCTCATTTCCAATAACAGCCCACTTATGCTTCCAAGAATAGAACTTTATAGTTGGTGACCTATCATATTGCACTGTTGATTATATGGGTTTTGATAAATCTTTGTCTTGGTGTTTCAGACCAGAGATGGTTGTGGGATGGTATCATTCACATCCTGGGTTTGGTTGTTGGCTTTCCGGAGTGGACATTAATACACAACAGGTTACATCTTGTCTTTGTCTTGTACTTCCTTTGTTACAAACCAGGAAGGGGAAAATAATGTCAAAAAATTATTCAAAGGTTTGATGCATAAATTGACTATATGCTTTGTATAATACAGAGTTTTGAGGCTTTAAATCAACGTGCTGTGGCCGTGGTGGTGGATCCTATTCAGAGTGTTAAAGGCAAGGTTGTAATTGATGCATTTCGGCTGATTAATCCACAAACTATGATGTTGGGTCAGGAACCAAGGCAGACAACATCTAACCTAGGGCATTTGAATAAGCCATCTATTCAAGTGAGCGTTCAGCGAATATCTTTCAGTTGTGAAACTTCTCCACAATTTTCTGTCTTTGATTCTGATTTTGATATCTTATTCTTGCCCCCTTTATAGGCTCTTATCCATGGTTTGAATCGACACTATTACTCCATAGCCATTAATTATAGGAAGAATGAGCTCGAAGAGAAGATGTTACTAAACCTTCACAAGAAGAAATGGACTGATGGTTTGACGCTGAGGCGTTTTGATGCTCATTCCAAAACCAATGAACAGACTGTTCAGGTAAGATAATTTTTTTTTTAATCATGAAACGGAAATAAATGTACCTCATTTTTTTAATTCTTTACGCTCCAATTTGTTCCTCTCACCCATATGGGATGAGGACATATGTAGATTTTTTTTTTTTTGGTCAAACGCGTATTTTTAATTATAGGAGATGTTAAAGGCCTAAAGCACTCTGTGGGATCAATTATTCAGCTCCTGATGACGACATTTTTTTATAATTTTTTTTTTCATCAAACGCATATTTTTAATTATAACAGATGTTAAACGCCTAAAGCATTCTGTGGGATCAATTATTCAACTCCTATAGAATGAGTGGCCTGTTATTTAAGCAATTCTTCATGTTGATATAAATGGTTCTCTTTATTGATTGCGTATCTCTGATTTATTTCAGGAGATGCTGAACTTAGCCATCAAGTACAATAAAGCCGTGCAGGAGGAGGATGAGTTGCCACCAGAGAAGCTTGCAATTGCCAACGTGGGTAGGCAAGATGCCAAAAAACATCTCGAAGAGCATGTTTCCAATTTGATGTCTTCAAACATAGTTCAGACTTTGGGAATGATGCTTGACACAGTTGTGTTTTAGAGTCAGTGTCATCATGGAGTTATTGATTATATGTCTAGCACTCAATTACTCAGAGCACTCATGTTTACCCAAAAAAGAAGAGCACTTTCTTGTTTGTCAGCGGAAACTGATGTTGATTAACCTTTTCTACCTCATAATGTGAGCGTTTCAGCTGGAGCGGTGGGTTGCATATTGTTTGGGGATAATGATCGTTTCAATATTTATTAGTCCTATACTCCTATGTGATTGTGGACTTAATTGAATTTGTGTTGAATAAGAACTAAGAAGAAAACAGATTTCCGATCAAACATAGCTGATTAAAATGAATAGTCCAGCGTTTGTTTGCCAGTAAGTGTTAATTGACTGATAGAGAAATTGCGAAGTTCTGCGCCTTATTGTTGCTGTAAAATAATTTGAAGGAGATTTTCAGTCTCCGCAGCTTTGTTGGTGATTCCAGTTCAAGAAATTTTGTTCGAATTGGACTTTTTAAAGGTACGTAAACATAGACTTCTATGATATTCTGCAGTTCCTGCACGGCAATTCCAAAATGCAAACATATCCTTGGCCTATTGCAAGCTCAAAAATGCTATAGCCAATCGGAACGTGAATCAATCCGAGTATCCGCTCACGTCTTTCCTGGTTCAGTTCTCCCTACCAGATGAGATGCAACTAAAGGTTTTCTGTCTAGCTTCTTCACCGTTCCGAGCAGCTTCTAGCAGTTTGTCTATGCTTGGACTGCCCTGTGACCTGGCTTCCACTATACATAATACTTTTCTCTATGAACCCCGGTTTCCCGTCCATCAGCTCGACCTTGCGTCCCAGCAACGGCAGCTAAGGCATTGCAAACGCCCTAGTTGTAACTTGACAGTTTATGAAATTTGTTTTTTATTATTTTTAAACAAAATAAAAATATGTTTTTATGCACATTTCCATTCGTCGTCTTTTATGCCGGGCATTATGCATTATGCATCATAATTCATCCTCTACTCTGGGAATGACTCTCACGCACTCGTACATTTCTCGTCTCGTCTTACGAGTTACATCAGAATTTATTTCTTATACGGATACGAAACATAAACTGTGGTTGACTTCAACAGAAGCTAAATAACTTTAGGCATCTTTTGTACTCTGCTGCTTTCTACGCCACAGCCATGACTCTGAAGGTGACTTGGGCAGGGGTGGTAGCAACACGGCTTTCCGGCAGAGACCAAATGGCCACCCCTCGCAGTGACAGAGTTCTTGAATAATGGAGCGCCTCCAATATTCAGAGAAATCAAGGTCGTTCAAGCTTGAACACGGCGAGAAGTTTGTCTTCACAGAATAAAACGGTTCTCCGCTCAAACGACTTGAGTGACATGAGAAACAACTTTTAACCGACAAAAACTCTTCCTTTTCATCATCGTCGACGTCTTCCCTTTCATGTAGCGCCACCATCTGAGTGATATACAGTTCTCTTGTCTCAGGAGAGTAAACCCAGGAAAAGTTGTCTCTCGCGACACTTGGCTTGTGCTTTTGTCTCTCCATGGCTCTACTTTTAACCGCTGAGACAACCACCTGAAAAACACGGAGGGAAAAAATAAAATAAAATCATGGAATTCACGTCAGGGGGAAATTTTCAAGGAAAAGATGAAATATATATCAAGGATGATCAGTGAGGTAAGCGTACTTCCTGTTCCTCATCAAAATCGCTGTTTGGGCACTCCTCATCGAGGCTTGCAGTTGAAAGCCGCCCACGGGAAGTACGGCAATGGGAAAATGCTTCCTTCAATGTTGCGGCAAGACAATTGTATCTCTTAGTAGCAGTATGGTTTGGAGGCTCTTCATGGTAGAACACGCCCATGGTTCCAGTTTTGCTGATTGATTTGTCAGAACATGAGAATATATACGGTAACTATTAATACCTGCATATTCACGCATATGCTGATGTTTTAATTGACCTGCTTTTTTGATAGTGGCCTCGCAGCGCCCTGATATAGTGATATCACTGACACTTTCCGTCCTTCAAGGTAAAGACAAGTCAAAAGGCCTAGACATCCCAACTAATTGCAATAAATTTCAATGGGGATTTTATTGCATACTTGACTGCCTTGATGGTGCTTGTATCCGTGTGCGAATTGGGGAACTTATCCAGAGATACACTTTAAGCTAAAGTCATGGTTCAAAAGACGTACCACCCAACCAATGCTGCTGTTTCATTAATTTGCTTAAATTGGTTGTCTCCAATTGAAAGTTACTATTGAAAAAACAACGGCGTCGGCAAAATCTTTTTTCCCATCTTATTATAGATATGGACTCGCATGATTTCAGGGGATTATGTCAAGTTACCCAAGCAAAGATGTCTGGACTCTGGACGCTAGACAAGACGGAAACTTTTCCAGAAGGGTCCACGTGTAATGCTTGTTCCAAATCTATTCTTGTACGTCTCCTTGAAGCTCCACAGTTTAATTGTAGGAAAATCCCAACAACATCCGTAATTAATATTCAAAGACAAGGTTAAAGTAGCAGTTAATATAACAATCATGTCATTATCATAAAGAGTAACAAACATTAATAACTTCTCATAACAGATCAAATAAGACGTTTGCAAGGGCAGAAGCTTATAACTAGACATTGAAAATTGATCTTATATCAGGCACAGTTGCTTGCCTAATTTCATAGCAAACTTGAGAGGTCAAATTGCCTATGCTCAGTTGCACATGACAGACAAATTGACGTACAAAGAGTATTAACAGTTGAATGAACGAGATCCTGTAGTTATAGTGTAAATTCTGTTATCATGATTTTCATGATCTATCTAATGAACCTATTTAAGGTTCATAAAAATAGGTGTGCATCCCCATTTTAGTTGCTGAAGTGCCGCTCTGTTCTGTTTGGTGATGAAAATATTGCCAGAGCCAACATGAGAGGATAATCCTAAAAACCATTTATAAAACCTTAGTCTGGGCAGAACCGAGGATCTGGATTAAATCTGAAAATTTTCAATAATGAACCTAAGTGCTATAGCCCTTGCAAGTTGTAAACAAGTCCAGTACTTCGGTGGAAATGAAGAGCTCTAAAATAATCCCGCAATTGCTATTTTATTCCAACAGATTAACTTATCGGGAAAAACTCACCGGACGCATGCGTCTGACCACAAAGCATAGTTCTTGAAGGGAAAATAGGAACAGGTTTTGACAACAGAAGCTTCAATGGTTCAGTTGGCAGATCTTTGAAGTTGCTGAGACGTAAGAGAAATCAAAGACTGTAGCTTAGCAACGGCCGAGGTCTTATCAGGTGGGCATTTGGAAAGAGAAATGTTCAAAGAATGGAGAGCCTCATCAAGCTTGCCAGCAGCCAAGGCAGCACACCCTGCTTTGTAAGCTTCGTCAGCCTCGCGGGCATCATATTGAGCCATCAAATAAGCACCAGAACTCTGGTTCGGGAAATAGGAAGAGGAAGATTCGAGAAGAGATGTGGCACGAGCATGCTCAAGATTGGAAATAGCCGAATCGATCTCTGCCATCAGAGCCTCAGGTGTCGCCGCGATTATGATCTTCACGCCATCATATACGCTCCAATGGGGCTTACCTTCTCCGGAACCCATATCACGCGCTAGGAATGTGAAATTCAAGTCGTATGTTCAAAACAATCCGATCGATCGATAAAAATTATGAGCTATACTGCAGATCCCAAAACCCCCGCCCAATCAAGATTTCCGAACTCAGCTTTCAGATTGCACAATTCCGTCAAATTATCATGGTGGGCTCACCAAATGGTGAACAATAAAATGGCCCCAAATTACCATCTACAAAATCAGTCGGAGTATGAAGCAGGAGAAAGATGAAGAAACGAGACATTTGAAAATACAAGTTAATGATTCTTGTTTAATCCTTGGAAGTCCAGAAACAACCATACCGCATCCGCTTAAAGCCGTGAATCCCAGTCGCACAGATGGAGTGAATCAACTTCTGGATATTGGCCTTGCGGATCACACCATACACGTATGGTCCTTCACAAGCTCCACCACAGAATGCAAGAACCCAACAGTAAAACTATCAACACAGAGCCAGGTCTCTCGTGTTGGTTTTATTAAAAAACTAAAAAGAAAAATAAATTCTCGCACATTATGAATGGCCAAATGTTCCTGTACGTTTGTATGTCATCTTTATTGGATCTCCTTTGTTTTTGTTTTTCTTTTTTTATGTCTCTCTAAATCTGTATTTTTAAAAATCATCAAATTTAATTTTTTAAATTTAATTTAACAGTTCAAATTTACATTATTCTCTTCTCCCCTCTCCTTTGCAGGTGAGAAATCCAACTCCATCTTTATTTTTCACCCATTCGTGGATGCACTAAATGTGCATTATCTCTTACGACATGACCTGTTAAACATAATTTTTTAAACGAGATTAATTAATAGACTGAATAATTTGTTTAAATGTTCTTTAAATGTTATTTACAAAAAAGAAGTGCAGCATCTTAAACAGTAAAAAACTGCAACTTTTTATGTTAGAATTATTCAATTAGTATTAATAATAACTTATATTTTCAGTGCTTCATAACTATTATAATGTAGATATCAAATTAAAATATAGTTCCAGAGCTTCTTTTTTTTTTAAAAAAACAAATTCTTCGTATGTTACTTTCTCCGTTTGACCAACCTTCGTATGTTACTTTCAGAAAGGGGTAATTTCAGTCAAGTCAACATTTTTGCCTTGTATGAAAATTGGTAAAATAAAACCCTGGAATGATCATTACCCATGAATTCCAACAACTGCCCTCTGTAACATTTTATGATATTAAACAAGTACGGCTAATTTTTCATTTTGTGTTCATAATTAAACCCTGGCATGTTCCCAAACTGTTATGATTTTGTCAGATCAGACTAGAACTCAGGCACGGGCCGATGGGTGCCAAGAACAAAGAATTGGCACAAGTCCTTGCTCCTTTGAGGATCGATCTTAGACGAGACATAAGTCTGCTCTATATAAGACTGTAATATCAAAATTCTCCCTCAACTATATGCTTCGGAGACGCGGATGACTAAGTCTGCTCGCTATAATTAAATGGATTACATAATTTTTAGTTCGGTGCGCTTCACCTATATGCTTCGGAGAAGCAGATGACCATAAGTCTGCTCGCTATAATTAAATGGATTACATAATTTTTAGTTCGGTGCGATATTTTAAAAGAGAAAGCAGAATTCATGGAAAACTGATGGTAGGTAAAACACAGATGAGAAGGACCAAGAGAACGGAGATACCAATAACATGATTCATTCTAATGCCTGCTCAAGAGAGTTGCACCAAACCGATGAAAAATGTGTCAAAACTCAAAAAGGTGGAGTTCACTAGATATGAATACTCACTGTCCTGGTGCACCTAGCTTAGTTGGTGTACCATATATTCCCATCCTAAGTTCTCTATCAACATCGCCATCAAGAGTTACATCAAGAGTAGGGTTCTGCATCCCGAAGACAAATTGAATAATATTATCAGGCAGTTCACAACAGAACAACTCTGTCAAGTCACCTTGCCTCCGTGCCTGTCAAAAATCGTGTCTAATCCTAAATGACCATCCATGTCTCAATGATTCCCCCACCATCCCCCCCCCCAAAAAAAACCCCAAAATATATATATAGTAACAGTGAAAGAGACAGAAAGAATGTATCCTATTTCATTTCTTTAACAAAGAACGCGATGGAGAACAGAAGTGTGATGGGAGGCATACATGACAAAGGCTTTGCCTGATAGCTTTCTGTGCTTGTACCCACAGAGTGACTCCAGTTGATCATAATAACTTCAGTGTTGGTTAATCAACTCATGCCCCAACCACTCCAGAGGCCCATGGAACAATCACTGGTGCAGATGGGTGGGAGTTTCGATATGATTCAGGATACTTATACTTAAAATTTAGTCGTGGCTTCTCAGCCTGGCATCAGATCATCAGGAAGACTATATTAGACAGAGGGAAAACAAGAAGGAACATGATCAGGAAGAATGTAAGTAGGCCAAACCAGTAGTTACATTTGTAAAGTCCAAGAAAATTTACTGAGATAGAATAAAAAAAAAATCAGGTCATTGCAAATATGTAGAGAAGAGGAAATTTAGCGAATCATCAGGTAGAACTCACATATTTCAGCCAGCACTCTTGATGTTTGTGCTGATAGATATCTGGAGAATGACAACCAAACTCAGATGGGCAATAAACCCAAATATTACATTTCCGTTCACCTTCTTTGGCATTTCTTGCTTGGTCCAAGCAAGCCTGACAGCAATCAGCTGCACTATCTTTGTGATGGGTAAGACCCCATCTTACTGCCACACCATCATAATCTGTGTGAAGTTCAGGATGGCACTCCGGAGGCATGGGCCTGCCAGGAAGAATTTCCTCCTCTGAAAGAAAGCATGCTCAGTAAATAAAAAGAAGAAATTTTTGCGTCATAAAATATATGCACATTTCTAGCACCCAAATCTAGGATTAGTATGCATGTTTCCCCAGCCAGCAAACCAATCTAGTGCCAAATTTTCAACAGAACATGTATTGCAGCTTCATTTTCCTGTATCAGACAGGGTACTCAGGTGACATTACATTAAGATTTAGAGGGGGAAAAATGAACACGAGAAGATTATATTACCAAAATCTACTTCACCCTCAGGTTTATCATCATGTTCCTCATTAGCAACTACACCAGGCATCCAGAGGCCAATTTCTTCAGAAAGCGCAAGCCAATCAGACTCCAGAGCTCTTACTAGCATCCCTAAGAAGTTGCAATAGTTACTAGTAACATGAAAAGACAAGTAAAGGATTCAAAAGCATAACACAACCAACTAGACCATCACAGAAACAATAGGAAAACAAAACTACTCATGGTCATACCTGCCTCTTTACGAGCAACGGTTGAGTTAGAAGTCGATTGCACAAGAGCCAACTTAGCTTCCTTCAGTTTTTCCTCACGCCAACTTTCAACTGCTTCTGTATTGTTTAGAAGTAATATCACCAAAAGGAGAAAGAGAGAGAATCAATGTCAAAAATACATAAGCAAAGAATCTGCCAAATTTTAGCAATTTAACATTTATATAACATAACTGAATTTGTATCCAGAATTCTAAATTAAAACAGCTATGAATAATTCAAAGAAAATGTTGGATTAGAATGCCCAGCTCTCCAGGGGAAAAAAATTCTAACACCAGAAACAATACATTCGCTCCACCACGTCAATGAGATGGTTGCCTGCTCTACAAAGAATAACTACCTCTCAAGTTTGGACTCAACATAAAGGTCAGGTACAACAAGATACAGACGCAAGGACAATTTCCCATATAGAGTTCCTCTATTTGGCTTTTTTTTTTTTTTCACCTCACTTCTCAGTTCTTAAAATCACTCATTCTTTATTGCTACTCTGCACAGTCAAAAACTAGTATAGCATCAGTCAGTGACTCAGCAAGGATGAAAGCCAAACAAGCAGAGTGAAAGCCAGATCTTCCCGTGGAGAAAACCAAAAACTCAAAGCAGCACACTCAAGTATCCCGTGTTGAAGGACAAACCTCACCATCCACTCTCCTCTCTCCAGGTTTCACATTCTAAATGTAGCAACTCAACCTTAACCTCATCTGCCAACTAAACAAGACAACGACTGAGGAGAAGAAGTGCTTGCTGAAGTGTCACAACCATACCCGATTACAATAAGCCATGGCCTGTCCAAGCAGAAATTTTTTTCAAAAAAAAACTCGCAGGATAAGTCATACCATGTGCATATCCACATCTCATTAAACCCTCAATACCATCACCACAACCAGAATGAAGCATCCAGGTTTGCATGATAACTACTTACTAATCTTTACACATTTGGGGAAAAACTGAGATTCAAAAAGGAAAAAGTAAACAAGTTTTTGCCAAGTGGAAGGTACAATCATTTGCAATCGGGCTTGTTTGTATCGTCTTCACGCAATGTTAATGCAGACAAGAATAGGGAACTCTTCATGCCTCCACTATCAAACTTATGTCTTATTTTCCACAAATCCATTTAAGATCAAGGATCAGGCACCAGAGGACCTCAAATCTCTCAAACACAGGTAACAATTAAAAGCTTTCATGCAGAGAGAGACCCAAAACTTGCATGGCATCGATGGCAATATGCAGTTAATTATCACCTTACATGCAACTAGATAAAAATACCAGGAATGTGTTTCAAACTAAATCAAATGATCCCCCAAAAAAACACAAAAGGATTGAAGGATAACTTTCAAGCAAATCAAAGAATCTCTGCTTGCGTTCAAATTATAATGAAGAAAGAAAGGCTGCTAATATATCTTACTAAAGTATTTCCTCACTAAGCAAAACCTAGCAGCAAGTATCTTTGCTTATATTAGCTTGACCTGAGACTTCCACAAAATTTGCATCTAATAAGCTTGATCTGAGACATAGCTAGTTTAATTCTTGAATTACAAAATTTGCATCTAACAAGCAAGCTAGCAAGGAAGAAAAAGATTAATATGTCCATGCAGTAGCTATGTGGCGCACGCTTGAATCTTCTCCTTCCCACACAACGAACCAACCCTGCTCCTTCCAAAAGAAAAGTGTTTGCTATGAAGTGTCTGATCTTTGAAATACCAACAATCTCAGTATAAAGACAATCCATCGAAAGTAAGAGCATCAGTTATAGCACCAGTCCAAAGTGCCAAATTCTTCCAATTTCAAAATGGGTACACTCAGTATGTAATTCTTAACAATAAGCTTATTCTTTCGACTCAAAATTTACACTAGTGATACATGACCACTTGATAATAAACCTTTACACCTTCCCGCCCATGGCAAATGAATCTGGCCGGGAAAAATAAGATAGCTGTTGACATTCTGTTATTCCAACAATCGAAGTAAAATTGAGTTACTAAAACGCTTATCAAGGTTCGGAAAGGTAGGAATATTATATTCGCATTAGTAAAATTACAGGCATTGACTCACCTTGCTCCATGCAAATTCCGGGTAGTGTTCGTGGCAGTAGAATTCAAGCTCCTCAGCGTCAGCAATATCTCATCCATTATTTTCTGTCTTAAATGCTGAGGCAACTGAGACCCCCTCTCTTCTCTTGATAACTCCCCTTCCAGTACCTTAACCTTTTGGTACAACGGTTTTATAATAGATTAACTTCTGTTCAATTCACGAGGAAGTGATAGCTCGAGCTAAGCATAGATGGTTCTTACCCATTTTAACCAATTCCTGGGTTTATATGCCTTACGGATTTGGATTGATTCTTCCATTTTCCGAATCTGGTCCGAAGTATACGGGACAACTGGAAAGACGATAAATTCAAAATTAAATCGAATGAGAGGATTTGGAGTTTTAGTATCAAAAAAGTAAAGCACGCTGTTAATACAAAGCAGAAGTGGGTTTTTAAGTTACGGAAACCACCTAAGCAGAGGCCAGTTTTAAGGATGAAAGATTAAAAATCCAAAATACCCACAATATTTCGAGCAGAGAAACCTATTTCAATACTTTATTCTGTTATGGGAGACAGGGAGGAGAACAGAAAACATCGACAATCACTAGTAATTCTATCATGAAAAAAGAAGAAGAAAATCCACCCGATCCTTATATATATATATATATATATATATTTAGCCAACAAATCCAATCCTCAGGTCGATACTTACTGCTTCGCGAAACGTTCCCCGAGTAGATATAAAGAGAGGCATAAAGAGTGCGAAGAAAGTAGAGAGCAACCGCAATGTTGAAAAAGCAAACTATGATAGCAGTTTTCTTGTACGAGCAAACCCACTTCCCTCTTCCTTGAAGCCCCCACTCAATTCTCGCCATAGCCCTCTCGCTTGCCCTTCTTCTTTATCCTCATCCCAATCCCACCATCGCCCACTTTCTTTCTCTTTCTTCGAAAAGGGCAGTGATTTGACGATTTCAATCTGAGATTGCGCTCACTCCAAATAGATCGATGAATCACGACAGGTTCAAAATGACAACTTCACCGCCAATCTGTGATTCGTGTTTACTATCCGACGGGCCAAGCAGCGGTAGCGTGATTATTCTTGCTCTGTTAGCTCCTCTAATTGAATCTAGTAATCGTGGTTCCCAAAAACAAAATAGTAATCGCGATTCCCTAATCGCATTTTTTTTTTTTTAACGAAACACAGGATCGTGCTTGTGCTAACGTGGCGCTTTTTGTCAATAGCTGTTGGGGATTAGGTGCTCCGCTCAATCATTTCGGTGGTTCCGTCATCATTGACGGCATGATGCTAAAGTGCGCTTGTGATTAGCGATTTGGCGTGTCTCCGCCGACGAATGCTACCGTACGCCAGTACTCCTCGAAAACTTCTTCTTCCCGTCAATATCCCACTTCTTTTGGCACCCAACCAAAAAAAAAAAAAAAAAACAGAATAAACACTTCTTTCGAATTTGTTTCAAATGGCATTGTTTGTCTTGCCTTCTCTCCATTTTCTTTTCTCTTCACTTTTTTTACTTTCTATTTCAACCGTTAAATTTATTTTTAATATTTCATAAAATTATTATTACTTGTTGGTGTCAATATTTAAGCTTTATGTATTTCACTTTGAAAGAAAGATTTATTACTCCACATGTTGATAACCTTTATTTTAATTTGTATATTGATTAGTAGCTAGAAGGAACTATGCTCCTAATTTATACTATAATTTTTAAACTTTTGCTGTTGTAGAATTTTTTAAAGATCCTAGTTACAGAAAATATTTTATCAAAATTTCTACAAAAGTGTTAAAACTTTTTATGACAATTAGTATTAAAATTATCATAACTTTCATATAATTTGATTATTATTTTTTTTCTTTCTTTTGTAAAATAAAATAAATTTTATCTTAAGGCTTATGGGGGACGTGTGAAGTGGTTCGCACCCATGTCGGTCACCTTTTATTTTAGGGTATGACATAAACTAAATTTCAAAGTTTTTAATGCTGCAAAGATTATCAATGCCTTATACGCATATTTGATTGTGAAGCTGCCATCATTTGAAGGCTTCTAACATCATCTACATTAGGATGAGGAGGTTGAACAATAATGATAGATTGATGATTTTCAAGTGAAGATATATGTATAATTGAGCAACCTTCCAGTTGCCATCACTAGAACAAAAATCTATAACTTTATCATAAAGAATAGAGTTAGCATTAGGTATCGCATACTTGACTAAGGATTTAAGAAGGGGGTATATGTGTAATACCAAAAAGATATTATATTGCCACTTCCTACCTTCCATCCCACATGAGATATGAACTGATCCCAAACTTTATAAGTACTAGACCATATGTAAAAGTAAGAATTGATTTTATAAACTATGAAATGATAACATTATTGCATTTATATTTGTCCTGAAGGACACGAACCTAAAGATAATTGAGTTTCATTGTGATTCTCAAGCAAAGTTTTATAATATAGATCCTATTTTAATTTTTTAAGCTTCTTTAAAGTCAAGACTTCTCTAATTTTTTGTTTTTGGTGGCAAAGTTCCGAGATAAGAGGCAAGGCTTTTTAATCCATCAATTGAGTTTCAAAGGAAGTCATAGGAATGAGTGGATATTATCGTGCATAAATGTTATTCCATCAGAGATAATTTATTTGATAATCAAGACGTGGTCAGACATTAAATACAGACATTAAATAACATGAGCATATTTTTTAGCAAATTCAAACATCATTTCGCCACACATTTAATGCATGTCTTTGAGACCTTGTTCCGTGATCATCAAATGTGTGGTCATTCACAAGCTCCAAGAAGGAAACTTTTTATGCTGCTATTGACCTGAACTCGAAAAGAAACACATCAAAAATGGTTAGGTGCTTGAGGGTCTATGTGGATTTCCTTTTGGAATTAGCTCTGGAATTAAAATTATAATTTTGCAAAAATTAATCTAAATATTTTTAAGTCTATAAAACTCTATTTTGGGAGAAGTTATTTTTTTCCTCCCTGAAAATCAAATTTTAACATTTAGAATTAGTCCTGTGATTACAATTATAGTTTTGGCAAAATTTATCTAAACAATTTCAAGTCTGTAGAACTCTATTTTGGAGAAATTACCTTTTCCCCCCTTAAAAATCAATTTTAACATTTGAATATTTCCTATTCCTCCAATTTTTATAATTGATTCTTAAAAGTTAGTCAAACATTTTTAATTATAAAAATAATTTTAAAAAAAAATATTATCCAAGCACTATCACATTTGTTAATAAGCTTTTTTATAATCAATTTTCATCAATTGAAATTCAAACACACCCTTAATTGTATATTGCCTTTAAGACATGTGAGGAAGTTACAATTCAACATGTTCCTTTCTTGTGCACGTTATATCCTATGGTGCTTTTAATCAAATCATGCATATTAATAAAAGTTCATTATTATCTTAAATTCCATTAAATCACAATAATTTTTAAATTTTTCTCATAATAATATCAATTAATATCATGGTGGTAGTGGGTAAAGTACGTAATCAATATGTCTCCTATTTTTTGAAGACAGGTGTGTAAAATTATCTAATTACTCAAAAATGTTACAATACTCCTTATATTTAAGAATAAAATAAGCTCATAGAAAACATTTTATGTATTGAAACGGAGGGAGTAATTGGTTGTTTTTTTTTATTAGTCATACAATTGGTTAGTTATTTGTGAACAATTGGTGTATTATTGTGTGCAGATATTATTCTATCAGAGATAATATTCACATTACGGTCAATTAGTCCATTTTACTATACTCAATTTGTTAATTACTGTAAACAATTTGTTAAATGTCTTCTGTTCCCTTGCATTCGGAGGGATGATGATATCATATAATGGTACTTATTCAAGTAATCAATGAGTTAACTTTTTATTTGAAGATTTTCAACATTTTCACTTAAGCTCTACAGTCTTTTAATTTGAAGAACTTTTCACTTGAAATGCAATTCGACGGGTCAAAGGGTGCCTTGAAATGTATGAGATAGGTTTCTCTCTATTACATTTTCCTTCCACTGTAAATATAAACCATTTAAATTAAATATTTATCTTTAAAAATTATCAAATTTAAATAATCAAGTTTAATTTAACGATTTAAATTTGTAATTTTTCTTCCACTACAAAGAGCGAAAGCTACTCTAGGATGTATTCAGAAATGACTCAAGATGCAATTCAAATATAAAAGTTGCCTGATTTACCAAAAAAAATTCAAAGTCATTTGAAAAAGTCATTTAAAAGTCCATTTCTCCAAAGCTACTTTCACTTAAGTCTGGTTTGATTATTTTTTTTGGCCGATTGCATTTGAAGTTGGAGTTTGGGCATTAATGAGGAAGTGAATAATTTTTATTTTACTATCATACCCTTATGATTATTTACCAAGCATTATTTTTTTTTCATAGATTGTTAAGCTTGTAATTTTCTATAAACCACAGATTGTAGGGAGGCTAGGTAAATCATATGGAAGCGATCATCAGCACTGACCCAAAAATTTATTAGCTTGAGAAAAGTAATCACTCAGCACTGCTTCGCACTTAATTGGTTAAACAAACAAAAAAGGAGAGTGAATTTATGAGACTGAAAATAATGAGCAAGGTTAATCAACAGATGTTATTTATTTTTTGGTAAGCATTATTTAACATATCAATTTTTGCTATTTAAAATTTTGATTTATATACTCTCTTTGTTAAAAAATGTAAGGTATTTTTACTGAATCTCACTCTCCAATAAAATTTTTATCTACTTTCAAACTAACCCTATCTTCTTATATTACCCCTATTAAATACCCTACAATAAATATAAAGTTATAATCAATAAGGGTACTTTTAAAAAAAGATAATGATTATATCTCGAAAGACTAAAATATTTTTATATTTTTGAACATCTAACTCTTCAAAACATGTCTTATATTTTTGAACGAAGTGAGTATATATTTTAATCATTTCAAATATATTGCATGTGTGCAATAAATATTACACATCAAAAAATCAATATTCTTTTCTGTAATTATATACATAAAATTACTTTTCACTATATTATCAAAAATATATTTTAATTTTATTAAATTAAATTTTAAGAAAAATGTATTTAGATAAAAATTATTATAATAATTGAGTTTTATCAAACTAATTTTCATAAAAAATATTTGATGAATGGATTTCAAAAATGAAAAACCAAACAAGTCCTAAACTGGGGCTAGAAATTAGTACCATGCTTGAATTTTTAAAAATTTTTGTATAGTCAATGTTGTTGTATGATCTCTATTTATAATTTTTTCTTATAAAAAAATCAGAATTCAAGACTTATTTGAATAATTCTTGAAAATACATTTAAAGTATATTTTTATCAAATCAATAAATAAGTAAATTCTTAAATAAATTTTTTTAAATTAAAAATTAAAATATCCTTAATTTTTTAATTTTTTATTTGCGCAGCTA